ATTATAAACAAATCATTTAATCATGTACTCCCAGCTCATTCTGCATCTCCTGCCAGATACAAAACATTTACTTTCATACATTTAGAACAATAATTTGCATAAACCACTCAAAGTGGGGATATGTTCAAAACAATTGCTTATGTGATGTTATTATCAAAATCTCCCCACACCCACACACTATTAGTTGTTCCTTTCAGTTCATACATTGAAGGCTTCGTTAAAATTCAAACATTATTTACCAGTAGAGAGACAAATGAAGCTATTAACAGTAAACTCAGATGAACTAATCCTTAATCAGTGAGGTCCTTTGTGAAAGGGACCAAGAAGTAATTAAGTTTGAGGAGGAAAAGGAAGGTCCAGAATATGGGCCGCTGCCTGGGGAGGGAAGGTAGGGTTCAGCACTCTGTAGAATGCTCTGGTAATCCAGGGACTTGTGTGAAAGCACTGGCAGTTCAGGTAGAGGGGGCACTGCTAAAAAGTGGGAAAATACGTAGTTTCTAAAGGACTACAAAAGCCATTAAAAGCAAATCTCTAAGTGCCAGTTCTGCCAAGAGCTAGTTAGCTTGGTTCAGGCATGTCTGAGATGAAAGTGGTCACTTCTTAAGCCCTGGCTGGCGTAGCTCAGTGGATTGAGTGTGGGCTGGGAACCAAAGTGTCCCAGGTTCGATTCCCAGCTAGGGTACATTACTGGGTTGCAGGCCATAACCCCCAGCAACCGCACATTGATGTCTCTCTCTCTCTCTCCCCCCACTCCCTTCCCTCCCTAAAAATAAATAAATAAAAATCTTAAAAAAAAAGAAAGTGGTCACTTCTTCACATTTTAGAAAATTCTCCAGCTCTCTGTGAAGATCATATCAAATAAAGTTAAAGAATTCTCAGGGATCAATTGACTCAACTTTGGGGGGATTTGAAACATAACTTTTAAAACTTTTTTAAACTACAAAACAAATACTCATTGTATAATATTGAAACATTTATAAAATATATAGAATCAAGCCCGAAAGATCCCCCTCAACACCCACCACAATTCCAGGCTCACACTATTTACAGTGTGCCCCACCCCAGATTCTTTTCTATGTACTTACTGGCATATATATATATATATATATATATATATATATATATATATACCTAACATATTATACAAATACAAGAAACTGTATTTGTTCTGCATAACTTGTTCTTTTATATTCTTACATTTTTTTATTGTGGAAAAATATAGATATTGTAGCTCTCTACTTTATCCACAGGGAATGTGTTCCACGGGGCCTGAATCTGCAGATAGTACTGAATCCTATATATACTGTTATTTCCTATACATACATACCTATGATAAAACCTAATTTATAAATTAGGCACAATAAAGGATTAACAACTATAGCCAATAATAAAATAGAACAATTGTAACAATATACTATAATAAAGATTATGTAAATGTGGTGTCTCTCTTAAAATGTTTTATTATATATTTATTGTACTTGTGATGATGTGAGAAGACAAAATTCTTATGTGATGAGATGAAGTGAGGTGGAATTTTCCATTTAATATTTTCAGATTGTGATTGACCTTAGAGAGCTGAAACCATGGAAAGCTAAACCATGGATGAGGGTGGGATCTACCCTAACATAAAATTTATCATTTTAACCATTTTCAAGTGTACAGGTAAGTGGTATTAAGTACACTCACAATGTTGTGTGACCATCCCCTCTATTTCCAGAACTTTTTCAATATTCCAAATAGAAACTCTGTACACATTAAACAATAAGCCCCCATTATCTCCTCCCTTCAGTCCCTGGTAACATCTGTTCTATCTTGTCTCTATGCTCTCCCTTCTTTTATAGTTGTATTTGAAGAGGTAATATGCAGATATTATTAAAAATTCTAACAATAGGGAAGGGCACATACAATGATAAATACTTTCCCCTCCTATGCTCAAACCCCAGGCAACAAGTGTAATCAGTTTCTTGGGTATCTTTACTAAACAGTCTTTGTATAAAAAAGCATAAATGGACATATACCACCCCCTTTTTTGTACAAAGCGGTAACCAACCATACACAACTTGCTTTTTTCATTTAGCAATATCTGATATGCATGTGTAAATAATGAATATATAATATGTACATAAAATGTATATATAAAAGGCATATATGTATAATTCTTATGTACTCCTATCTTATGCTACGGTCAACTTACTTCTCGCCAATTAACTTTTTAAAAATTATTTAATGTTTATTTTTCAAAAAACACTTAACATAAAACTTATCCTCCCAACAATTTAAACTGTAAAATATTGTACACTGATGTGCAACAGATTCCCCAGAACCCCTCCAATCCTGCATGACTGAAACTCTACTCTCCACCTTCCATCCCCTGAGCCCCAGGCAACCACCATTCTGCTTTCTGTTTTTATGAGTTTGACTACATTAGATACATCCTATAAATAGTATCATGAAGCATTTATCCTTCTGTGACTGGCTTATTTCACTTAGCATATTATCCTCAAGATTCATCTATTGTCATGGCATATGGCAGGATCTCCTTTTCTAAGGCTGAATGTATATGCCACATTCCACTGTATGTATATGCCACATTTTCTTTATCCACTCATCTGTCGGTGGACATTTAGGCTGCTTCTAACTCTTGGCTATTGTGAATAATGTCGTAATGAACATGGGGGTGCAAATATCTGTTTGAGAGTCTGCTTTTAATTTTAAATATATTTCCAGAATTGAGATTGCTGAATCATATGTTAGTCCTATTTTTAATTTCTTGAGAAACCTCCAGATTCCTGAGCTTTTCCCACAGTGGTTGCACCATTTTACATTCCCACCAACAGTGTACAAGGGTTCTAATTTTTCATATCCTTGCCAACGCATTTTCTTTCTGCTTTGTTTCATTTCTTAATAATGGTCATTTTGACAGGTGTGAGGTGATATGTGGTTGTGGTTTTAAACTCATTTCCCTGATAATCAGTGATGTTGAACATTTTTTTTCATAGGCTTGTTGGCCATTTGTATATCTATATCTTTTTTGGAGCAATGCCTATTGAACTCCTTTCCCTATTTTTTTAAATCCTCACCCAAGGATATGTTTACTGATTTTAGGGAGGATGAGAGAGAGAGACAGAGAGAGAGAGAGAGAGAGAGAGAGAGAGAGAGAGAGAGAGAGAATGAGAGGGAAACATTGATCACTTGCTTGCCATATGAACCCTGATGGGGGATTGAACTCGAAACCTAGGTATATGCCCTGACCAGGAATCGAACCCCACAACCTTTTGGTGTACAAGTGGATGCTCCAACCAACTGAGCTACCTGAGCTACCTGGACAGGTCCCCTTTGCCCATTTTTATTTGGTTATTTTGTTATTGTGTTGTAGTTCTTTTTATATTCCAGATATTAACTTCTTATCAGATATATGATTGTCAAATATTCTCTTTTCATTCTTTCCCTTTTAGTCTGTTGATGCTTTTGCTGCGTCGAAGTTTTTAAGTTTGATGTAGTCCCACTTTTCTATTTTTGCTTTCCTTGCCTGTGCTTTTGGTGTGACTCATTAACTTTTATTTCTCTTAGGGCCAGACTTTCATCAGGATTACCTGGTTGTAATTTTTGCCTTCTGGTTTCCACCCCAATGCTCTGTAGCATATTGTTTAACAGAGGTATTTCCTAATTACTATTGGTTCCCTTAAGGAATACACCCAGAGCTACCTTAATTTTTCTGGATTGTTTGCATGCACAGTAATGAGAAGCCTATGTGTATGTGGGGTGGGGGGGGGTTCATCCCATGTTTTTAGCTTCTTTCCCCTTCATCTCCCATTTTACTCCATGTTTGGAACAGAATCTACTTCGCACCTCCTCTTACCTCTGGAATCCTCCTTGTGAGTGGGGCGTGCCCTCTGAGCCAATGACAGGTCAGCCACGAGGCTGTTTTCAGACCAGTGAAGGCTTCTAGGTTCCAGATGAACCAATTAGCTTATTAAGGACATTGAATAACTGGACAATTGGCATCTGTTCTATTGTCCTCTGAGTAAGGACCCTCTAGTTTTGCCCATCAAAGATCTGAATGTGAAAATGAAACTTTACATTGTTTTTGTAGTTGCTGTTGTTTTTTAAATTTTGGTGGCTTAATCCATCCCACAACTTTTGACTAAAGCCAATAAAACACAGCCACTCACCCTTTGTAAAAGGAAAGAGGGGTTGGGTTTCCTTCCATTGTCTGCCTTTTTCTGTCTCCTCCACTATTTTTGTTTCACTCTGTATTTAACTTTGCATAGAGTAGCTTCATCAGAGGACCTGTGCTGTGGATCTGGGCTCTTATCTCATTGCCAGTTACAAGGACCTTTTCGTTGTTCTAACTTGGGGTTTATGTGTCCAGAGGGGTGGCGGGTGGGAGAAGAGTTTGGCCATAATCTGCATTGTGCATTTTCTTCGCCCGGTCTCTCCCCTCCCCCCTGCCCTCCCCTCCCCTCCCCTGCCCTCCCCTCCCCCCTCCCCTCTTCCTCTCTCTCTCTCTCTCTCTCTCACACACACACACACACACACACACACACACACACACACACACACAGAGTAGAAGGCCAGCGCGCGCACGCCTGCCCGTCCCCTTTCGTGTGTCTTCCTTCAAGATGACAGGACACTGGAGAAAAGGCTGCTGGAGTCAGCTGGTAGGTACAGTAGTAACCCGAACCCCACCCACTCTCTGCCTTTGCTCGCTCAGGTTTCTCCGGTCACTACTGTCCAGGGAGAAAACGAGTAAACTCGACTCCAGAGGAGGGGCTGGGGAGCTGTGAGTGGCGGAGGCGGCGGAAGGTGAGGCCAGGAAGGTGGCCGAGTGCTCGTGCTACTGTGGAGCTTCCCCTTGCTTCATCGGAGCCTCAGCTCCAGCCCTATTTGCCTCTATCTCACCTCCCTTTTCTAAGGGACTGTCTTTTTATTTTTTTTTTTCCTCTGCGGCGGCGGAAATGACAGTGTGGTGCTGTCTTAGTGTTGTGGTGTTACGCTTGGGCTGCGGGGGCGAAAACTCTTAAGTTTGGCTACAGAGACCCAGGCGCAGTAGCGTCGCTGCTGCCTTGCAGTCCGTGGCAGGGCGCACAGGCGGGAGGATCCCGGATGCTGCGCGGCGGCGGCTGAGGCGAGGGCGGGCGGCGGCCTAGAGGGGCAGCGGTAGGTGCTGCGGCCCTGGAGCTCGCGCAGGAGTCGGAGCCGGAGCCGGAACCAGGTCGCAGTAGAAGCAGGCGAGCGCCCTGCGCTCTGGGGGCGCTCAGAAGACGGCTGGCACCCGGGAATGCACTGGGTAAAACGTGCCCCTTCGCCACGGACCCTGGGATCTCTCGGCCCCCACCCACATTCCCCTGGACCCCAGCTCCAGCGGCCTCTCAGGTGTCGCAGGAGCCTGGCGCGGGCATAGGGCTTCTGGGTTCCAATGGGGCAGGGTGACGGGCCCCGGCCAGGCTCGAGGTGGCGGCAGGGGCCCGGGTCTGGCCTTGGCACGCGGTTGAGCTTTTGGGGCCCGGGCGCTCGTCTCTGCTGCCCTCTTGGGACGGAGTTTGCACTCTGAGGTGCGTGCAGGGAGGACACGAGGCCTCCCGCGCAGCCCGGCAGGGCTGGGCGCTGCCAGTCTAGCCACTCCTATGCCAGGTGTGCCTTCCCACGCTCAGTCGGCCCATAGCCTTCTGGGCCGGGGCAACGCCCCTTGACCTGCTGTCTGCTCGGTTGTGTCTGCTGTGGCAGCCAGGGTTGCTGAGGACGCCCGGCCGGCGGGGAGGCCCGGCGAAACTCCATCTTTTTCTGCAAGGGGAGTGATGCTTGAATGTCTGGGCGATTCCTTAATTTCTGGCCTAGCTCTGAAACCAGCTTAGTGGAGGATGAGGGGAAACTTCTGTCCACTGGATAGACTGCGACTGAATTGCGGAGAGGTGGAGGTTTTCCATTTCAGGTTCGTAAGAATTAAATAAGTAGTGGTGGAATAGATTTATAGAAATATCTTTGATGATGATAAGATCTAGGTTACTTAGCACTTTGTATGCAGCACATTATTTCTTGGAGGTGTTTCTCAGAGTAGGAAATTTGAATCCTGGGTTCGTTGGGTTCTTCACTGTCTCTTCCATACTCCCCACCTGCCTTCACCCTCATTCACTTTCTTCCTACATTATCACCCACCTGCCTGCCCACCCAGATCTCCCACCAGAACCCACTTATACCTCATACCTTTCCTCCATCAACCTGTGTATTCCCAGCTTCCCAGCCATACAGCCTCTTGCTTTTCAGCCAGTATGCCTTTTTCGGGATTTCTGAGTGTGGGGTAGGTAGTGAGTGATGGGTTGTATGTCTCTGAGGAGCTCTAATAAAAAATATATTGGAGACTATGTAAACAGACAAGTGCTGTGTGAGAGCTGATTCCTTTGACTCTCAGGTTGGGCCATAAGGGCTGCCTTTAAACCCTGTCTCTGCCCTCCCAGTACTGTAATCAGTTATCTGGCCATGCTCCAATAGAAGGGAAATACTGAAGAGAGTTCCTCCCCTACTTCCTGCTCTACCCCTAACCTTCACATACCCCCAACCCTCTCCACTCATCATGCCCTGAGGGGGAAACAATGTGCTATTGTTATGTATTTCTGGCCAATCAATTAACTTAATACAGATATATGATGTGAATTAGTTTTTCCTGACTGTTCCCACAGCTTGATTTATGTGATTGAAATACAGGTCAAGGGCCAAGATGATCAGAGAGTTCATCCTAAATTTGATGTTGCATTGGCTTTATGGTCTTAGGACATTCTTATGACTTTTCTTTCATAGTTAATACACTTGTGTAAAAGGCATAATACTGTGTACTAAGTATTGTGAGTCTTGGTCTTTTGATGATGAAAGGGTTCTATAAGTTCTCAGAATTATATTTTTTTAAAGAAAGTGCTTCATTTACCTTTTTATCGGTATAATAGATTGGGTGTTAAGTAGAAACCTTAGTTTCTGGAAACCTTAACTTTCCATTATTAGCCCCCCTGGAGCCAAATCTTTCACAGTACTTAGGTTCCAAGTCTGTGTTTCGTGCCTAATGCACATACAACTACATGAAACATACATAAAACTAGACATACAGAGTAGCAATGATTATTTTAAGTCAAAGCTTAAATCATATCTAATATACTCCAACCTAACAATCTGAATCAGGCTCATTTGAAAACATAACCTCACCCATTTTTAGCCTTTAAGGAGGCAGTTAGTTAAATTCTACTAAAAAGTGGTATAAATAATTTTAGGCATGGCTATTTATATAAGCATGATTAGCATCTAGCAGCAGTGAGTCAATAATAGTTATTTACTAAGTGCCTACAATGTACAGATACCTCTGCTGACTGGGCTGAGGCCCTAGCCTTGGCCTAGTATTTTGGCCTCCTGCTTGTTTGAAGCCTATCTCCTTACTTGCAGATCCAGGATTAGGACAGGTTGGGGCTGTGAGGGCAGGTGTAGAGGCTAGGGACATGAAGGGGCGATTGTTTCTCTCTTGTTTGTTTTTCTGACTACTAGACTTCTCATCTAGCATGTTGTGCCTTGCATGGCCACCCCCTGGGAAGTACTGCCACAAATCAGAGTGATTTGATTGCTTCACAAAGGTATCATCTGAACTGTGCAAACTGATTTAGATGAAGTTGGTTTAGTTAATCCCTCCTCTTTAAGTACAGGGCAACCTGCTCCAGCTTGCAGATCCTAAAGCAGTGCCAAAATGGCTCTGGATAGTGAGCCTATCCATTCCCTCATCCCTCCTCCCATAAAAATCTGCTGACTCCATGACAGTTGAGAAGGAAACTATAGGAGGAGTATGTCTTTATCACTCATCAAACCTCATTGGGTTGGTGAAGAGGTGAGAATGTCTTCTTTTCACTGTTTTCCTTAGCACTAGGCTCTCTCTTTCCCAATATGGATGAAATGCCCTAAAAAAGAAGGTAAAGACAGGGCTGAGTCACCGAATGTGTCTTAAATGCTATTTTCAGAGGTACCTGCTTGGCCTTATGTGTGCCTGTCACTCAGTCTTTATGGATTTTGGAAACTCCCTAGCTGTTAGGCCATGGGATTTGGGTGCTTGTGGAGGCACCCAGGGAGTACTGCATTTCCATTTAGCATTAAGTTTTTGACTTCTGTGCAAAGAGGAACATGAAGCAGTGTGTTTGCAAAGCAACTCCTAACTTAAGCTGGGTGTCTTAACTTAGAGTCTTGCATGAAAATATGACATGTAACATGTTGATACTGGGTATATGATAGTTCAGGAGAGTTCACAGTTGTTCATTTTTTGATGAGTGAAATTTTGGTACCAAGGTGGTGTTGCACTAATGTCTGTATTTTAGCTCTCTCAAAAAAAAATATGTTCATCTCTGAGCAGGATAGAGAAAAGACTAGAAGAGTGTTTCTCAACCATTTTATTGGATCATGCTAAAAAGTAAAAATACCAGATAAGTGGTGTTGAGAAAAGAAATTTAAATCCAATTATCCCTCTGTGCAGGCTACTAGTCCCCTTTTTATATTCCCTCTTTTCCAAGGATAAATAGATCCTTGGAAATATTTATCTCTCCATTTGTCATGAAGTAAAAGTCTGCTAAGAGTCTTCCATGTGCATTGGAGGTTTGTGGCTGTTTCTGACATTTGTCTTTTTTCATCTTCTCCTTCTCCATGGCCATAGGCAGACATCTTTTCAAAAGTCAATCTCCCAGCTTTTTTCATTTTCCTTAGAAATCCTATAGGCTTCTAAAACTACCATTTGGTTAAAGTATGGGTGATGGAGGGATTTTGAGTAATGTGCCAACATCCTACCACTCCCTTCTCCATGTGCGGTTCACCTGAATGCACACTAGGGTGTTGGTTTAACATAAGTGGGTTAGCAAAATGTCCTTTGTAAGGCTTGTCCTCCTTGGGTTCTTGTCTCACTGCAGAGCTCTGACTGCCTGACCTTGGGCTTTTTCTCAGCCTCTTTCCTGCAGGTCAGGCTCCTTTAACTGATGAAAAGAACAGTGTCTTCAGTCTCTGAATTTTACTCTTACAGAGACCAAATGATCTGATAACAAACGTATAATCTAAAATCCTCCTGTAACAAAAAATACCAGTATTTACAATTTGCTGGGTTAGGAACATAATGTTTGGGTATGGTAGACAGTGCTCATGCAGGACAGTCAAGTATCCGAATGCATATATCCCAGAAGTAAATGGTTTATGGTCCAGAATCCTCTATCACTTTGTCTATAGCGCTTTGTTCAGTGTTGCTAAGATCCATGTGGTTCCCAGGGGAGTAGAAGCTTGATTTCAAATAGGCTTCTGTTCTCTATCCCTTGTTTCTGACCTGAAATTGGGGTCCTTTTAGTCTAACATTCAACAGCATGCCCTACATATATATATAATGACAATTTTATTCTGTGGAAGCAGAGGCGCCTGCCCATTCAGGTGTGCCACTGAACATTTAGACATTTACAAATATTTCCTTGGGTAACAGAGATTGGAAAAAACAGTCCTAGGATGGATAAAAAGCTGTACTGGTAGCAGTAAATAAATTGTTTGTTCTCCATTTGTTCCCTAACCTTGCAATTGCCAGTGCAATCTGCATTAAGATAAAGGTGTTATGAATTATATTTAGAATTCCTGGCAATTATCATGTGTTACCCTGGCAAATCCATTTCTTAGTAACTTAGATTATATTTTTTACAATTATAGCATATTTAGGGCTTTTAGTTCTGCTATTGTGATATTCATTTTAATGTTTATGATGACTGTATTGTACAAAATACCCAATGGTTGTATTTAGGAGCTAATTATTGTAAAGAAAATATCATTAAGTCTACATACTATAAAATATTAAGTGGGTTTTAATAACCTATTAGACAGGAAGTGACTCTGATGCTCTCTGTCAGTTGGTACTCAACCTGTAGTTCTGAGCTCTCCCTATGCATGATAAAAGCTTAAGAGTAAAGAAGAGAGACAGTACCTCCCTTGGGGAACTCATGTCTAACAAGGGAGACATATGAATATAATGAGTACCCTGGTAACACTCATAATCCTCCAGAAAAACTGTGGGGGAGTGTGATTGTCCTCTATTATATCAACCACGTGTTTGGGACAAATTTTCAAACATTTGCTGCTTTTCTTAATAACTTGCTTTGCATCTGTCATCTGTGAATGCATGATGAGACTATATTTGTAAAGCAAATTAATTATTGTATTCCATCTGATCCTCACAAGAGCTTCTGATATGGGTAAGGCAGGTAGTTTTCATTTCACAGATGAAGAGGCTGTTGCCTAAATAGTTTACAT